ACCAAATTTCAAAAGGATCGGCCGACTATATCTTATAGCTGCCATATAACTGAACGATTGGAAATGTCATAACTTTGGTGTTCTTAAAGTTAGGAAGTTGGGATTTTTTATGAGTATTAAGAATGCATTATATGAATAATTTTGGAGAATATAAGTTACAGAGTATTCTGCAAGGGTATATCAACTTCGGCTCCGCCCGAAGTTAGCTTTCCTTTCTTGTTTTTTATTTTCATTTTTTGTTTGGGCCTTGCTTCCGTTTTCAAACGCAGAACAACCGCTACGGCGGTCAAAACTATTAACAAATCCAAAGCTACAACCTGTCGTCGGCGTTTCTCTATGGCAAGTGCACAATCAGCAGCAGCAATTGCAATTGCAGTGGCAACAACGACACAACAGCAACATTTCCGCTGCTTTTGCCCAAAAAAGGCATTGAACAATTATTATTGAGTGTGAGTGGAAAGCAAAAGCAACAAGTGCAATATACTTAAATTGCGCCCACTAATAACCCACTGGCTGGGTAAGAGGGACAGCAGTAGTTGTGGCCACAACTTAGTGGCAACTTCTTCGTTTTTATTTGCCAACACGAAAGGCAAAGACCGGTCAACTGTGGCAGCCACAGAGCTTGAAAATTGTCAACACAGCCAGCCACTTGCCACACAACTTTGACTACAACTCCCCAGAGTTTTGGGGAGTGGGGCACGGAGGGGCAAAGAGACATCCAGCTGCGTAGACAGAGCTCAGACATTGCCCAAGTTGCCTCGTCGTTTTGCACTTTTCCAAAAACATCAATAGACCAGTCTTAAAGTCGAAGTGTGTCTACGCTTTCTTGACATGAAAATGATTGGGAAATAAAAACACTAAACTTCAGAAATGAGGAAATATACAAAACGTTTATACCCCCGCAAATAAAAAGTTATTGATAGACCTGTCTTTCACTCCAAAAGTCTGTCTTCATATTTTCAATTAAGGCTTTGATCAGTAATGACTTTTGTGACTTTTTATTGATCAATAACCGACTATCAATACATTTTTATTTGCAAACAGTCGGGTGTATAAATGTAGTAATAAATGGCTTTGGTCGACTATAAGCTTAATTTTCACATTTCAGCTTTAATAAGTTTTACAATAAAGGTAAAAGTTCAAATGTACATATAATAAAAGTAATAAAACTGATCACTTTTAAATTAAAGTTTTTTTATATAAAAAGAAAAATGATTTGAACGTTAAAAAATAAACATTTGGTTTATTATCATACTAAAAATAAGACTTTGGCCTAGAAGGCCATGATAAACGAACAATTAAAGCTTGAAGAGAAAGGTTCATGTTAAGATAAAAACTACCAATGTTTAAGACAACGTTAAAAAAGTTCTATGAATGCTGAATTCTAAGTTGAGTTGTCTATTTTGTATGTGGAAAGTGGATAGGTTGTCAAAACAAACCATTGATAATATTAAGTGTATTTAGTTGGAGTTAGAGTTGCATATCGGGGGTATGAAGTAACCAACCAAATGACAAAGTTCTTATACCGATTTCTCCTATTCGATTCTCTATCATAATCTTTAGCTAGCTTTGCAGTTTGGTTGCTTCTTTTTTTTTGGCATGCGCCGCGTGAAAAACGAAATGAAAAGTTGTTGCTGTTGTGTCGATGTCGATGCTGCGATGTTGCTGCTGTTGGTGTTGCTGCTGTTGCTGCTGTTGTTGCTGTTGCAGTGGTCAGTTGCCGGCGTATCTTTTGGCCACCCGAAGGCTGCAGACCCAGCGAAATATAGACACACACTCCCAAACACATTTGAAAATGGAAAGTCGTCGTCTGGTTGTCGTTTGCAGTTTTGTTTTGGGGGTTTCGTTTGGGGTTTCTTTTTCTATTTTTTGTTTTTCGGTTTTAGTTGTTATTTTTTTTTGTTTTTGGCTGGGCTGCAACCGGTTGCATTAGTGCAACAGCAACAGAAACATTAGCACATGCAACAAATTTTTCGTATTATTTTTATTAGATTTTGATTTATTGTTTGTGTGGATTGCTGCGGCCTATCCGCTAATTGGAATTGCCCAAGTCGGAAAATGTGGTAACTGCAGTGCAGGAATTCTCGGCGAGAAACGAGAAATCTCGCCATCTCCTTGAGGAGGAAAGCGAAAGTTAGAGGCTGCTTTAAATTTGAAATTGAAATTTCTTGTTTCTCGGTTTATGGCCGAGGAAAAGCAAAAGCCGCGACTGGCGACTTGAGAGCCGATTCGAGCCAAGTGCACGTTTAGTTTGGGCCATAAACTGTGCGCTGCCATTATGAGCTAACTCCGCCAGGGCGGCGGAGAGGTTTCTTTTCGCACTCGCCGGGTTATATAAGGTTGCGGTTCGGCAAAACCTTACCGAACGTCATTAAAATTGCAAATTTCTTTCCGTCTTTATCTGCCTGTGTGGATAATGGGACCAGAAACTAATAAGCAGGTGCCGAATGGCTACAGCAATACGTATCTGCGGCAACGGCCCAAAGATATCCCATTGTTACAGCCAGATAAACCTTAGAGCAAACCGTCTATTTTCTTGGGGTTCTGCGTGTCAACGCTTTTCAGAACCGAGTTCATAAATAAAACATCAGCTTAAATTAGTGGCTGGCCCTGGCCGTCTATCGGTTGATATTTGTATGGAAACAAAACCATAAATTGGATTGATTTATAATCACATACAATATTTATATTATACTCCTCCTAGACAAAAGTCTTCATCCAAAACTACCGTTTCATTGCCGATGCGAGCTATTTATATCTGCCTTTAAATCTGCCTTTATATCTGCCTTTATATCTATTTGATAGCCATCTCGAAATCAATTTTGCAGCTAATAATGGGGTTTTGGGATTAACAATATTTCAAAGATATGTTAATGGAAAGAATTTTGAAGTTCTAATATATTCTCTACTTTTTACAGTTCATAAGCAATTAACAATTAAATCGCTTTAAGTGTTGCTCTCATTTTAAAGTCTTTCCAAATTTGGAAAGATTTTCAGTGCGCAGAGATTACTTTCTTCAGTCCATTTAACCATAAAGATCCCATTTCTGGTGCATCCCACGATAATCTCAATGAGTTTAAAATTTCACCCGCTTCAATTTCAATTTCAGACCGTAATCAAATTTTTTGGCCACTGCCCACTCAAAAACACACGCACAACAAGTTAGCGAGTTTATCAATTAACATTTGAATTACATTATTTACGGGCAAAATATTTCACTCTTTCATTGCCGTTAAGTGTTTATAACTTTCACTGCATCGACGCTGTCTCATCTCTCAATAGAAAACATTAATTAAAGCATTAAATGCACATAATTAACGCAGTCGCAGATGCTGCCTCTTCTTTCTCTCTGTTATATATGGCTATATATATATATCTTTCTCTCCGTTTTTGCCCAACAGTTGCACATTCGTATGTTTGAGATTTTAATGATTTTCCTTTGTTTTGTGTGTTTTTCGCAATGTTTTCGCATGGGAAATGATTGGAGTGCAGTGGAAAAACTGGGCAAGTTGGTGGGGAAAAGCAGCGTCATTGAGGAAAAGACGTCAAGTGGAGTTAACCTTGAGTTTTCCGGGGTAATAAATTAAACTGTTTTGAGTGTGGGCCGTTTTCAGTTGCGGTAAGCATAATTTCTTTTCTTCATATGCGGAAGACACAATCGAATGAGAAGGAAGTGAAACAATCTTGGATACGGCTGAGGCTTCTGAAGTATAACCGCAGATGGTTAAGAAAGCTATTCACATTAGTGCCATTTTAATGATAATACAACAAGCTTTTGGCACAAAGACCACAAAAACCACTGATTGAGATGGAAAACAATCCTAATAAATCCCCCCATAGACAAAAGTTCATTATCTCTGACCGTATCGGAGTTAATTTCATGCCAACCTTATGTAAACGAAGCCAAAGCCAAGCGAAAACAAAATACAAACCAAAATTGTATCGGAAGCTTCACCCAAATAAACTGGAGTTTTACAGTTAAATCAAGATGGGCAAAAACGCGGCATGTGTGTCAAATACGTTTAAAATGTAAAAATCCATACAACGAAAATGAACAGAAATCCAACGAAATATTTTTACAAAAAGTAAACGAGAAATGCAAAATAAAACCGAATAAAATTAAAAATGTTTGCCTTGCAAACCGGTTGGAGCATAATAATCATATCAGAACCGGTTGGATTTAAGAACTGTTCAAAATGAACTGTAGTCAGACCCAGAATCAAATCACCACAGGTTTTTGCCTTAGGTTGTAATATGCCCAACCTTTTGGCAATTAATTTTACAATTTAAACCAAGATAATTTAATTTAAAGTAGTGTCAAAACGGATCACAGCCTAATTTCAATTTAATTTGATTGGAGATCTTGATTGAGATCTGCGGGAGAGACAAGCGTGAAGCATGCAAAATTGCCGCGACTGTGTAATATTTATAATAAACAACTCAACGCTTTTGGCCACAAAAAAGCGGTCGAAAAACAGATTGCCAAAGTTATTGCCTGTCAGGCCAAGTGACGGCTGCCCAATCCCGTTTCGGGTTTTCTCGCTTCGTTTCATTTTTTTTGGGACTTCTCGGTGCCCGCTGATTATTGAAAAGAACTCTTCCGGAATCGCGAGGGGAGAATTACTTTCGCAGTAGATAAGCCATCGGGGTGCTAATCACAAGCTGCCTTCAACGGGTCCCCAGGCCATTGATTTATTGCCAGATTTCAAGTTAACACTTTTTTGCCGATCCCAAATTGAGTTATTTATTCCTGGACCGAACGGTCACGTACTGAGTATAGGCAGCAGCAACAGGTTGCACGTTGCACGTTGCTGTTGCAGTTTCAGTTGCAGTTGCACTTGCAGCTTAGATTTATATTCGTAGATTTTGGCAGTCGTGTTAATGAAGTTTGCTGATTTATGTGCCTTTGGGGCTGTCGCCAGTGTCTTTGCCGCTGCCCACAGGAAGTGGGCTTCGAAAATCGATTTGGAAAATCTAATTGGAGTCTCCTTTTCTTGCAGATTCTGGACAGCTCACTTCTAACACCGGAGTCATCACTGGAAACCCATTAAGTGGTAAGTGCTAACTCATAAAAATATTTAACAACTCGAGGTATTTGTCGAACAACAAAACTGCCCAAATAAACGTTTCTGTTTAGGGTCGATGATCATTAGTCTGGTCAATAGATTGGCACCCAAAAAAATTCAAAAATATCACAATAAAACCCCGATAGATCAACATTCATGCTCCAGTTATGAGCGTTTTGTTCAAGATCTTTATGCACCTTTCCACCACAACAAACCGATCAGTTTTAATTCTGCTGCGTTTTATGGTTTTGCTTAACTGCACAACCAGTTTGGGTTTTCTTAATCAAAACTTCGGAGAAACCTTCACGAATGACAAAAATGTCAAACATTTTGTTGCAGGGAAAAGTGAAAATCTGAGAAAATAAAATTGTACAAACGCAAAAAGAAAATTACTGAAATTGTGGTTTATTTTCCCTAGCAATTCATGCATGAAAATGGGTGCCAAAGTGAAACTGAAACTGGCTTTTTGTTTTGCTTCAGTAACGTTTGCGATCATGCCTTTAATGGGTTATAAAATGAGGATTTTAAGGGCCGAGTTCCAAGGATCTTGGCGGTGTTTTTGTAAGGAATAAATCATTCGCAAATTTGGGCATTTATTTCTTTACCCGAACCGTTTTTGTCTCTTATTTTTTCTTAGTCATATATTTAAGACTTTGCTTTTTATGGTTTTGGCTTTTAAAGCCAAAAGAAAAGTGATTCACGAGGTTTTTGGGTCAAGTTTATTGTTTTCTGTTGGTTTACTCTTACCCCAATCTCATGAATCACTTGCATCCAAAAACTGAACTCATTTGCCACAACTATGTAGTGCGGCTCATTAGCGATGTTTAATTAGATATTTATCTCTGGCCTGCAGCCAAACTTCGCACATCCATCGTCTTTATTTCGGGGTTCTCTGAGTTTCGCACTTCAATATCAGTTTCCATTATTGTGTCAACACAATTCAAAGCAAATTGCCAATTGTTGTTAGATTGTCGGTTTTGCTAATTCCCAAAGAAAACAAACTGAATTATTTATCGAAGGCAAGTCTTTTGAGCTAACAAAAGGCTGGTAAACAGTGCTCCGAAGTTCATAAATAATTTGTTACAGTTTCTGCGACTTATTTTTGGGTCTCCCTGCTTTGTTTTGGTCTCGAACAAAAATAAGCCTTTTGAAAGCATTGAAATTTATAGATTCCCCAGTCACAAGCTTTCAATTTTCTGGCCAGCAACGATTCTTGATTGAGAGCTATGAAAGGAATGCCTTATTCACTGGGTTCTATAGTTGGTTCTTTTCCAGTTGAGCGACTTTCCCATACAATGGCTGGGGAAAGAGGAGGCAGAATACTTTCTAAATGCACAAATCACGGTAGTGGGTAAAGAATTCAACGCCATAGAATAAACATTTCGGGCTCCAAAACGCCTAAATAGGCCTTAATTAACAATTTATGTGCAGTGGCAGCAGCAGCAGCAAAAGCAGCAACAACAGCATCAACTTGATGCATCATCCTCGGCATCGGCAGGGGTTTTATCTCCATCGGAGTCTGTAATCTGCTGGCTACTGTGCGTTGTCACAGCCAGCTCCTGAGGCCTCTTTTCTGCCCAGTCATCCTTAATTATTATGATTATCGATGTTTTATGCTCTATAATTGCCGTTGGCAGTCGCCAGTTGGCAGTGACTTGGTCTTTTTGGGGCGTCGCCCGGACCAGCCCCCAAAATTGCCGTCTTCTTTGCTCCTGCCCTCTCGCTTTGATCTCCATTCTGGCCTTTACCTAATTGATATAATTCTCCAGTTTAACTTTGGCTTACTTTGTTGCATGCTTGACGTTTTACTCGTCAAGTTCGTGTCCTAAGTCTTTTGTTTTGGCCGTCAACCGCCGCTGGTTCTACATAAATTACGCCAACTTAATGATTATCTCTTAGTTGGTTAACCAAGTGTCAGCCTAACACAAGACAAACACATATATCCGCACAGAGTGAAAGACCAAAACACCGGCAAACTGGCAGCCGACATTGGGCGAAGATAAGCTCGGTTTTGACACAGATGCTGCACAGTGGAGTCATAAACTATTTAACTATTTTAATAAGTTGGTTTAACAGCTTTAAAAAAAATATTTAAATAATTTTATAAAGTTGTAAAGTAGCTGAGGCTTTTAAATCTTTAAAGTTAACCCATTTTCTTTTAATTTATAAAGTTTAGTTTTTCATGATTTATAATCCGTGCAAGTACCACATTCACTCACTTTAAAGTCACTGTGAGCCAGTTTGTAAGCTGGCAGCTCTATCCGGACCACGTCCATCCATCTGTCCGGAATGTCCAGGGCGGGCGTGCATTAAAATTTATTATATAAGCCAACAGAGTCGCCGTTGCAGTCGCAGTCGCAGCTTCATCTGCCGCCGTCGCTGCCGTTGCAATCTTTTAAAAATCTCGCGTACTCATCAACAACATTTCAAAGTGTACGTACATCAAAGTGGACTAGCCCCTGACTTCCCTGCCTAACAGTTGTACATGGAAGGTGTATCGCATAAAATCACAAAAAGCTATCTAAACAGGAAACCCAACAGCAACAGCAACGGCAGTAGCAGCAACATCAACCGCAGCAGCAACAGCAGCAGCAACAACAATGTCGTTGTTGGCGGCGTCGAGTAAATTAAAACAAAACGTTGTCGTCGTCTCCTCCTCCTAAAGAGTTCCTCGGGCCTTGCGACTGATCCTGCCCCCCATCCAGCCCCTGGATACCTGTTGTTTAGATGTTCTACTACTGCTGCTGCTGCTGCTACTGGGTTGCTCCTCCTGGCTGTCTGACTATGTCTGCTACTGTCTGCTGTTTTGTTGCCTTAACACTTTGCACAAATATTATTATGTATTATGCTTTTTCGCCATGTTGCTGTGCTTGCTGCGGGGTGGTAGCCACAACTTTGATGGATTGCACGTCTGTCGTGAAGAACTCAACTTCAACTTCGACTTCAAACTTGGCTGAGTGAAATGGCAGCCACTTTTTTTATTTTCGTTAGCTGGGCGTGAGCAGTAGCAGCAGCAGCAACAACACGCAGCAGACACGACAGCAACATCAAGAGTAACTGAATTTGAAGGTCAGATACAAGTTGGTTTTTTGGGAAAGTCTTGCCGGAGCCGAAAACGTTGTTTATTAGCATCAAATTTTGGAAGCTCTGATGTGGGACGAAAAAAAGAGATACTTGAATGTCTGGGCGCACTTTATGTAAGAGATTTATCTAGCAGTTGCATGAAGTTGGGATAGAGAATGCATTTGAGTAGGAATGGCATCCTACATCTATGCATCCATATTGTATAGATTATCGACTTATACCAGATGTTCGGAATTTACTTGATTAATATAGAAGTAATTTAAGAAAATAGTGAAAAATTATTCAATTATTTTTGTTTTAATATATAAAGATTTTTTAGGATCTTTAATTCTCTCAAATTTTAATGCTGCTGAAAGTATCAGTCTCTTTTATTTAATAATATAAGCGTCTTTTTCGACATATTTTCAAGATTTATATTGTTATATTTTGTATGCTCTTTTAAACTAAAAATGTTGTCTGTTTATAAAAAGAAGTAATTTATATTTTACCGCGCGGAAATAAATCATAATCTAACATATTTGTTGATTAACAATTTCGGTTTTTCCCTGTTCACATTCATCTCTGATTGTTGGTATTTCTTTTTTGGGACTACTCATTTGAGTTTTGCCCCCACTCAAGTGCAATGCCAGATCAAACAAATATTTTGGTGGCACGCAATTCCCCCTTCTCCGACGCCTCTGCATTTCGACTAGGGCGCGTCGGATCCATAGGCCCAAAAATGAAAAAAATGACTAAAGATGGGGCCAGTGATGAATTCGACATTGGAGTGCCAATCAAGGGAAAAGTTAGGCTCATAAATCGACACGAAAATATTGAGTAAGTCGGGCATGATTTCTCGATTTACAGGGGAAGAGCCAAGGCCCTCGATTGATTAGTCACGCCTCTTAGAATTCCAGCGGCTGGAGCTGCAGCTGCACATCCCAAGTGCTTAGCTAAGCGGTGCCAAAGAGCTGAGCAAACAGAACTCAAATTCAAATCGGAATCCAAGGCGGCAATTAAGCGGCCAAACGAGTCTAACAATGAAAACTGCGGCCATAAAACAGCATGTGTGCATATATGCAAACAGCGAAACTGCAAAGGAATCTGAACCACAAAAGCAACAGGTGCGCAGCTGGGGATCAACAGCAGCAGTGAGAGCAACAAGTTTACCATAATCACAATAATTTTCAACTCAACTGGACACAAGTGGCACAAACGGAAACAACGAGACCAGACCAAACCTCAGTATGTGCCGGAGAATGTGCCATAAAACGAGAGAATGGGTACGGATCGAAGCCTCAAATTGTTGATGGACGATGGACAGAAGAACCGAACTGAGAACGAATAACGATTGCACAGGCAAATCCAAAGCGATTGCTGCCACTAATGATGGTTTAGTATCCACAAAATGCTTCAAGCTAGACCGAGAATTATCTTCATTTGGATTTTGCCTGGCCTTACTTTCTCCGATGAATGTTCTTTCAGGCGGAAAGATTGTAAAACAGAATTATATGATTTCTTTTACCGCAGATTTGCATTGCTAAGGAACCATAATATTTTTAGAGATATACGAGTATCTAACTCTTTTATTTGTTTTTTAAGAAATCGTAAATTGTGTTGGAAACATATTGATGGCTTTGCATATTCAGGCATTATTTGTTGTGTACTATTTTCTTAAAGAAATTACAGTATTTTTTTTAACTATTTCTTACTTTATCATCCAATATTTGTTTTGCTAAAAGCTACCCTATGCGATATTTAAAATCCTTTAAGATCTTTTTAATAACTTTTTAACTATTATGAGTTGGAGCTCGTAGCTTTTATTTATTCTTTCCAGGAAAAGCTTCTCTATTTTACACAGAGAACCCATCAAAATGCATTATGATTACAGAAAAAAGAATAACTTCGTTTGCTACCTTGTCAAA